ATCAACATTATAGTAGGTCTTAATCAGCGGGTATCTATTTACCACATCCTTACACCAACCCTAGTCAAACTCAGGTTTTCACACTGGCTCATTGTTACACAATCGGAAACAAAAACAAACAACAGTAAAAGGAAGCGACACACGTATGACAATGACAGCTTAACTCTCAAATGCGATCGACTGTAATGCTTACCTTGTGGCAGTACGGCCCATGCAGCTTATTCCCACATGATACACAACCGTGTCCAATGCGATTTCTTCTGACCTGACGAGTATTTCATTCTTCTTCGTTCATCCTGTGGTTCCTTGTTCTCTGATTGCTATGTTAACGGCGTGGTGCGCTCTCTAAGAATGGATTTTTGCGCTGTGTGTGTGGCGTGATGTGGTATTGCTACGTCGGCGTTATAAATAATCAGAAGCCGCAAAAACACGAAGGTTTTATTTCACTTTTACAGCCGTCGTTGACGTCCTTGACAGTGTTCCACGTCTTCCGTCCGTCCGTCCGTCCGGTGATGGAACGCCTTCGTATGGTGATAGTCGTACTCTGCTTAAAAATATCTACAATATTTATAAAACATACATGTTACATGTAATATATTTTACAAAACATACCGTGATTTGTTGTTGTCAAGTTCTATTCCGTATTGAATCCTTGATAAGTCAGGAAATATGTGTCAAGGCACAGTGCTCTGAAATCACACAACAATGAATAAAGTGAAACAAACAAGACTAAAAAGTGGAGCAAAGCAAAAAAGTAGTACGACCACTGAGCCTAAAAAAGAAATGGCAATTAGTACAAACCTATAACACATTGTGATGTGACTTACATATTATTTACATATTATATATGATCAGCGTAGTTGTTAGAAACACTTACTAAGCAGCAATGCACAGAGTCTTCTAGATTGCATTCTTCGAGAAGTCGTTTATATTACAGTAACCGTGTTTCTGTGTACGTGTGCGTGAGTGCGTGTGCGTGTATGTATATAGCTGTTTGTCCGTCCGTTCCATTCAACCTTTCGCTCTTTCTTTGCGAGTGCGTGTGCGTGCATGCATGTGCGCGTGCGTATGTGCGTGCGTGCGTGCATGCGTGCGTATGTATGCGTATGTGTGTATGTGTGTGTGCGTGTGTGCGTGTGTGTGTGCGCGTGTGTGTGTGCGCGCGCGCGCGTGTGTGTATGTGTGTGTG